TCCGCGGGGGGTGGCCTCCCCAGTAGCTGGTTCCCTCTTGGTTGCCACCAATTGCATAGTATCTTTTGTTTGTCGACGGGATCATTTGCCGCGGACTGCGCGACTGCGTCGCACTTGAGGCCTCATCGTGCCAACAAAAAGACTCAGAGTTTGGATTGTATTCAACGATGGTGGTATCCCACCGCTGCTGCCTGATGCCCGGCATTTTCGCATTGACAGTCTTGAAAATCCAGTTCCGTTGGTGGCGAAGATTTTGGTACATCAAGCAACCCTCATGTTCGTGAAGACAAAGTGCAACACACAACTATATTTCGTGTCTGCATCAAGCTCGCGCCGCAGCATCAACTGCAACATCGTCGACTAGCAAAACGGCCACGGCACAGGTGCTGAATGCTCGCCATGCGAGCTCTTGGCCAAGAATGGCCGGTTTTTGATGTTGCAGATGTTGGGCTCGAGCCACTGAAGTAACGACAATATGCTTCGGCCGTGTAAGGGCATGATGACCACGCTAGTCAGCAGAGTTTGCACAGACTGACCCAAATGGTATGAAACACGAATACTGCACTTGTAAGGGTGGCCAGGCAACATGTTTGTCATGAGACAAGTTGATTGGCTTTGATAGTTGTTGTGTGCTGCACGCATGTATGAACAGTTGACTGATGGGCATTGTCCTTACCAGTTTTCCAATTTGACAGATGTTGCGCTATTTTGACTCTGAGGCCACCTGAACCTGTTCTCGATCGTTCGGGCCATACATGGCATGAGCTGTCTCACACATGCTGCGTTTGACTCAGTTGAGCCGCAAAATTCCGATTAAACGTGGCTGGCACAGGATGGGATGCCAAACCAGACTTGGAACGATTTCTGACATGCTTTTACCGGTACTTCGAGGTGGCTGGGCTGAGCTTAGGCCATGAGGATGGATAGGTCGGATAGGTGCGGAACAAGGTGCTTGTCCTATCCAAACGTGAAACCAAGGTGAAAGGGTTGCGCGGCGTCGTTGCTATTCATTTGTCGTCGGGATCCCAACTGCAACACCGCAGTAGATTCACGTACTCTCGGGCTGCAGAAACTTGCTGAGGCATGTGGTGGCACTTGCTTTCACCATTGGATTCTCGTTCGTCCTGTCACTTGCCGCACCCATAACTTGACTTGTCGCGAGCAGCACTTGATGACGAAGGGCCGGTGTCTGCTTCCTTCACGTGGACAGCTGGCTTATCATGTGTTCAGGCTATTTCTCATTGATTGGGAAGCTCTGTTGGCTTGCGATTCTGAGGAGCCCAGTTCTCGGACTCGACACAGCGGTATATGTTCCGAAACGTTGCGGACTCTGGAGGTCATGTCGTGCCATATCCATTTATTATGCGAAACCGTTTCGCGACCTGGGATTTCGACGAGCAGGGGCTGTGATCTTAGTTTTCAAGGTGTGCAAATATTAGGTAAGTGGCAGACTGGCCATTTCTTCCACAGGTCTTGGTGTGTACGGTCCTCTTTGTCTTCTATGGGGCAATGAATGTGACTCTTGTGCAAAAGGCTGATGGATGCCGTCTTGCATGACAAGTGAATCTGCAGATGCAATGGCAGCAGCTTTGCTCAGGTCGCGACAGTGTACCAAGACATTCGCGATGCACAATCCGTCAGTACGTATTATAAGGCTGCCCGGATGGATTCGTTTGAAGTTCGGCGTTGCATGTCCATGTGTCGGATGCGGCACATTCTGAAGCCAGGACCGGCTGGGCATTGCATCGGATGAAAGTTTAGAAACCATGACATGGTCTGAAGTGGTGTCCCGTCTCGTCCAGCAGCAGAAGGAGCGTTGCCTTGCAGCGGGTCTGGGAAGGTGAGCACAAAGCAGCATCCGTCGCAGCATCCGTCGGCGAGGAGTCTCGCTTCTGCATCGTTCAAGATGAGCTCACAGCCTTGGAAATTGCCAACATCATTATGCGCGAGGCGAGGCGAGGCGCTCTGGAGAGGAGGCTTTCTGTTGGGTGACAGGACAACTTCATGATTGGCTTGACGAGCCACAAGGCACGGCGGAGGGCCGTCATACGGGATAGCCATAGTGCCATGGCCTCGTCTTGTTCGAGGCGTTCACCGAAGGTTTGCCCTGGTGGATCCCGCGACGCCTTGCCCCTTGGCTCCTGGAGTTGCCACGGGCCTCGAGCGAAAGAGCATTGCCTTCCTCGGACCTTTTCCCTTCGCTCAGGTCTTTACCAAAGCGGTGCTTTGGAACCTTCGCCTTGTGATTTTCCGCTGGCAGGGAGTTGGTAACTCAATGACATTGCCCCAACTTGAGGAGGCACACGTAAACCCGTTCAGTGAAGGTGCTGGATGACCGCGGACGAATCAGACGGGAGTTCTTGAATAGGCCAGAGGCCAGGACACAGCTCTGCAGAGTACGTAGCTAAGTCTCCGATTCAGAGTTCGAAGCATCATTTTGTTGGACCTGAACCTTTTGCATCGGCTTGCAGACTACGGTAGGACAGGTAGATCCCTTGAAGGGACCCCAAGCGCCGCTTACCGGATGGCAGTTGGCAAGAACAAAAGACTAACCAAAGGTGGAAAGAAGGGAGGCAAGAAGAAAGCAGGCGATCCATTTCTGCGAAAGGAATGGTATGACATCAAGGCAGCATCTTGTGCAGCGGGCCCTTAGCTAGCACCCACAGCAACGTGTCCAGCTATGTTTGACTGAACCCTGTGATTGTGCTCGGCAGGCACCTAGCATGTTCTCCGTTCGCAACTGCGGCAAGACTTTGGTCTCCCGGACTCAAGGGACCAAAATTGCAACAGAAGAGCTCAAGGGCCGTGTCTTGGAAGTGACTGGCCAGCAGGAACAGTTGAAGTTCTTCGATGCACGAGTGATCATGAATCGTGGCGGCTGCGCTATAAATTGAGGTGAACCTCGCGGACTTGAACAACGACGAAGATCAGGCCTCCAAGAAGATCAGGCTTTGCATCGAGGAAGTTCAGGGCAGGAGTTGCTTGACAGACTTCCACGGCATGAACCTGACACGGGACAAGATCTGCTCCCTGATCAAGAAGTGGCAGACTCTCATCGAGGCGCATGTGGATGTGAAAACCACAGACAACTATGTCGTGCGTATGTTTTGCATAGCATTTACGAAGCGGAGACCAGAGCAAGTCAAGGCCAACTGTTATGCGCAGTCAGCTCAAATCAGAAAGATCCGACGAAAGATGGTTGAAATTATGACCCAAGAAGCTTCGAAAGTTCAGCTCCGTGAGCTCGTGAAGAAGCTCATTCCCGAGTCTATCGGCAAGGAGATCGAGAAGCAGGCGCAGGGCATCTTCCCCTTGAAAGACTGCCTCATCCGGAAAGTGAAGATTCTCAAAAAGCCAAAGTTCGACATCACGAAGCTGATGGAACTTCACGGTGACGGTGGCGAGGATGTCGGCGCTGAGATGATGCGACCAGAGGCTGAAGATGCAATGAACACATTGACAGCTGATGTCGCTGCCGCGGAGGATGACTGAGATGCCATAGCCAGATTGAAACTTCTGTACAGGACGGGCGGCTTGGGGCGCACCTGAAAATCATGCGATCAAGAGGAGCACTGGGCCGGGAAACGCTGACAAACAATCTGCAGAGGCACTGGCACGCAATCTGCGTCTGTTGGGCTTGCTGGCGTCTCAGCTTTCTTGGATCTGCCGGAAAGTGAGAGTCGTGTGCTGCCACAGGGCCAACCTGGTGCTCGTTCCCCCGGTGTTGATCTTCGTTGCGCTATACTTCTTCATGAGCTGACATCCAAGTTACGTAGCTTGGCTATTGTTTGTTCGCATCAGTTGTCGACTGAGGACATGCAGAAGAATTCCGTTCCCAGAGGGCATCGCCGTTTCAAAGGCAGTGGACAGACTACGCCTCCTGGCAAACAGTTTATCAAGCCCTTGCCTGTATCCACTCAGTCTCCCAGCTGAAGGCCCACTGGACATTCAGGGAGTACAATGAGCTGCCCCACGAGTTCAATGCAACTGGCTCAGTGCTCAATGGCTGACAAATGTCCCTGCATCACTGCTCAGGCCAGAATGTGTGCCGCCCAAGCCGCAGCTGAGGACACGGAAGCAAGGTAGGCAATTTGAACAAGTGGCCTGTGCGAACATTCGTCGAGGCGTATTTCCATTGCACAACGCCTTCCTCACCTGTTCTCAAATCTGTGCAGCGTTGTGTCAAGTTCATTGCAGGCAGGCTTGTCGTGCAGCTCTTTGATGTCATGCTTGTGTGTCGGAATGCAGGGGTCGCTGCGAATCCAGAGCCATGTCATGATGCAGCGTATTTTATGCTGTATGCCACACTACGTCTACGTATCTTGAGAGAAGTCTTCGGGCTTCAAGATCAGCCGGTAGGCACCAAGCAGGCCACGCTTGCCTACACGGTTTTGCCATCGACCTGACATCTCAGGGAAAAGGAGTGTAGTTGCCACAATATGGCATTGTAGGGAGAAACGAAACTGGCACGTGATTTTCATTGCTGGCAGATGAGGGTGACAATTTAGCGAACTTGGTGAGCAGTGTGATCTCGGTTTGCAGAAGGAACCAGATGATGGGCTGCTGATGGGTTGTCATGGTCTAGCGCCGGCCACTGCGAAATCCCAACCTAGCGAGAACCATTAACCGCTAACCAAAGCTGGAAGAGCACTGTAGTGCCGCAGCCAGCAAAATCAAATCCGAGGTTGCTCACACAGGTTCTCAACGAACACGCGACATTTGGAAATGCGACCAGTGCGCGTCTGCTCGGAGGTGCTGTTCGCGAGACTTTGCCATCACTCAAGACAGATTGAGCTCATGCACAAGAGCTCTTGGCGGTGTCACCAGTTGCCTCCAAACACAACAGTACTGCCTGCAATGACAACGCTCATCCGCTGGGATGCAGCGTGAATTCCAGCCAGGTGCCTGGTGTGAGCTGATCGTAAACACAATTCTCATCGGTGTCACAGAAGACAGGACATCATAACAAACCTCTCCAGTGTTCCTCTTGTGGACGGATGCGGAGACAAGATTGACCTGGCAGGTTCGGTGTTGGCAGCCTTACTGCTTGTGGCTTTGTGGGATGCTCCTTGCTCAGTTTCTGGATCGTCCAAAGTGCTTTGAGAGACTTGGGCAGCGTCAGGACAGCCCGCTGCTGTTCGTGAAGGTCCAGGCAGGCACAGCGTGAGCGCGCTGCATGAGCTGGCTCCGTCGCTACGCTGCCCCCCAGGACAAGAATCTGCTCTGGTATCTGGCTGTCTTTGGTGACCCCGATGCATGGGCGCTGATGCAGGGGAGCCGATAAGTCGTCTGGCTCAGGTTTTGCCTTTGCAGTGGCTGATGGCGCCGGTGATGAAGATGCAGGACCTGGATTATAAATCTGCTGCGCTCTTCAGGATGTAATCGGAAGGGTACAGTACATGTTGTGCACAAAATGTGCGAAGGCTCGGGAGGCTCTGGAGCCTCACACGCACCAAGCATGCCGCAGCCATCTCAGCAGCTGATGCGATTTTGTGCTAACCTACAACCTTAAGGATATCGTCCTGAAGACGAGGTTGAGGATGCACATTGCATTGATGCGGCTGGTGTCCTGCGGCGGCCTTAGACATTTGCCTTCGACATTTTTGCACAACATGTCATGTGCTTTGGGCAAAGAGTCGATTGCGGCAGATAAAGTTGTAAGAAACAAAGATGGCGGGATGTGAGGTACCCATTACTTGCCAGAGCACTGGCGCTCTCCTGCACGACTAACATCACTCGCAGGCAGAACTCGTTGGTTAGGTCACAGACGATAGTTCGAATCATGCTTATTGCAAGGGCAAAACCTTCTGCATCAGTCACCTGACAGGAGCTTGCAGTGGATTACAGCGTTCAGACCTAAGAATCCTGTCATACTGCCTTGCAGCACTCTATCCCTTGGCTCTGGCTGGTTTCTGACTGAAAGGTGCAGAGCTCTGTGACCACTTCCGTCGAGTCCGACGGGACGGGGTTTCGATGCCACACCCGGATTGGCACGTGATACCCCCCCCGGCGACCGTTTTTTTTTCTGGACTAGAACGTCCCCAAACTGGCACGTGGGATTACAATCCTATTTTTCGGGCGGAACTTAAATGCCCAGAGGCTTTGCGTGGGCAGCCGGTCTGAGCACTGCCTGATGTGACTGCTTTTGTTGCTAGCGGCTGGTTGTCCATGTTGGTTTCCGCTACCTGATGCGTCATTTCAGTTTCTGCATGTTTCCGCCGCCGGGTCTGAGCACTACCTGATTCGAAGAAGGCGTAGGCCAAGGGTCGGGTCGGTGCCGATGTTTGCTTTCCGATTCTCAGCGGTCTGTGCCGCCCTGCATGGCATCCGCAAACAGTGCTTCCGCCCGGTGGATTTGCTCCCAGGTGAGAAAATTGATCTCTTCCACGATGACACCGTTGTTTTTGTGCAACGGCTGTGTGCCTTGGGCTTAGTTGGGGCTGTGGGTGCCGCTCCACCTTGTGATGCGTTCTCTCGTGCCCGCCTCCTGCACCCCGCACCCTTCTACAGCCGTGCGGTCGCGACGACCTATCCACTTCTTCGATGAACTCGCCCGCTCCACACTCATCCATGTCCGCTGCCGGGTCGTCGCCGCTCGAGGGGTCCTCTAGCCTCCTGTGGCTTGACCGTGTGGTCATGTCCTGGTGTCGCACTCACGCCCCTCACATGTCGACCGTGGCTGCGTGTGCACATCCACAAATCCTGGACTTTTGCGTCTAGTCAGTCTAGTCAACCTGCTGTGCAGGACATTGCGTCGGCGTGCCCACACCCTTTGGGCGTTCACCCGGCTTTGTCAGGTCATCGTGGTCCCGATGGTGCTTTCTTCACTTGGCTTACCGCCCGTTATCCGGACTCATTTGCACAGAAGCTGGCAAAGCTTGACGCTCCGTTTCTTGACGATGGCGATCACATTCACCCGGTGCACACATGGACTTCTTTGCTTCCGTCGGCCCCATGCTGGCCGCGTCATCGTCCGGCGCTGGCTTTTGCAGTGCCGCGTGCCAATCCCGCCTGCCTTAACCGACATCTTGGGCCCCCTGCACAAGGCACTACAAGGCCTGCTCGGCTCGGTTGCTGGACATTGGGTTGCATGAAGCAGTCGCGTGCCGCCTCATCGGGCTCCAAGACCGACCCTCTCTCCGACACGCCGACGAAATTTGGGCGTCACTTCTGTCAGTGCAAGATGGCCAACCCTTCCGTCTTAACCTCTGGCATGCCTTCTTTCTGCTGTGTGCTGATCCCGACGCCGACATGTTTCACCTGCTGCGCCAAGGGGTGCCGTTGGGCATTGGCGTTCCTATCCTTCCGACTTCCGCCCCGTGAGGCACCCTCCGGCTCCGCCCGACTCCATGTGTTTTCCACTTGAGCACTGTGAATCAGCATGGCGATCCGCTATTACGAGCTTCTCCAGACTGAATTGGATGCTGGTTGGACTGCTATTGTCGACGGCGACGCCGCCGCCCTTAAACAGCAGCATCAGCATACCGCCGTTGGCAAGCTGGGAGTAGGAGTGGATTTGTGACTTGGCTGATTGCTTGGAGTTGGTCGAATTGCTACGTTACAAGTTCGCCGCCGGGGCACATCAATGTCCTTGAGAGCCGAGCTTATAAGTCTTGGATTTAGTGGTGTGCAAAACGCCGCCCACGTTGTCGTCTGCTGGGGCTCATTGACAGCTGCATGCTTTTGGGAGCAGCCGCAAAGGGCAGGTCGGCTAGTTCTTCGCTGTGTCGGGCCCTTCGCTCTACTCTTCCTTACGTCTTGGGTTCGGCTTTGTACTCGGGTGGCCTTCACGTGTACTCTGCTCACAACCGTCCGGACGGTCCTTGATGCGGTGCTGCTCCGTTGTCACCTGCTGCGCCCTTCGACTTGGTGTACGCCTCCGCTGCGGTTCCTCGGCGGGTGACATTGAATGCAACCCTGCTCCTCGGCATCCTGGCGGCCCCTGCGGAAGCCTCGACTTGCAGTCCGGTTTGCGGCTTCCACCCGTCACAAGATGGCCGAGGCTCTGAGCGCTTTCTCTGTTTGGCTTGTGAGAAAGTCTGGTCTGACCCTGGCTTCGGTCGCCGTGCCTGCCTCCACCGCCGCTCTTGCTTTGCGCGCCTTCGGCCTCTACCTTTACTCCGGCGGCTACCCTCGTTACCTCCTCGATCACCTCGATCCAGGACTGTTTCCCAAAGGTCCGGTCACACTTGTCACCGGGTTGACCGCAAAAGGCGTTGGCCGAATCTGGTGAATGCCGGCCCGTTATTTCCCAACCAATCCTTCAGGCATCCATTGCCCTTGCGATTTGCTGGGGATGGTACGACGGGGCTGCCATCACCGCCGTCAGTTTCCTTTGCATGCTTCACCCTTCGGAGATGATCGCGCTTCTTCGTCACGACCTTGTCTTCGCCGCTGACGCTCTGTCGCCCGACCCAGTTGCGTATGTCCACATTCGGCAATGGAATTGCATTATGGCGAGGCTTGGTGTGCCTCACCAGCTTTCCCAGCACGGCTCCACCCCTGGAGTCCTTAGGGGCGCCGGCGCCACTTTCCTGTACCTTGACACGGAGGATCTTTCTCTCGCAGCTTGGAGAGGGCAATGGAGCAAGACGAAGATGGTGGAGTTCTACCTCCAGGGAGGTGGCGGCTCAATCGCTTCTCCACCGATTGGTCGCGCGCAAACGCATTCGCACTCTCGCCTCCTTCTCACGATGCCTTGTTGATCATGTCTTGGCCTGTTGTGGCAGTCGCCAAGCATGTTAGAAGTGGGATCTGCTATCCGGGCTCCGCAGCTCGTTCGGCATATCTTTGGCCTGCAGGCTTCTCCTGAACCTTTAAGCCCCTTTGGTTAATTCCGGGACCCCTTTCGGTTTGGGTCCCTGAAGTTCCGTAGTCTGTGCCTTCGGCTCTGCGGCCGCGGCAGGTTCACCTTTCGAAGCAAAATGCGTAGAGGCGGGACGCGTCGCAACGGCAGGCGAAAATGGATGCACAACATCTCTATCCCATGGCAGCCGAATCATTTGCGACTCTGCAGCTTCCTTTCTCGCCCGCCCTGCCTGCCCAGGAATCTGTTATCCGTGCTCCGCAGCTCCTTCGGCATATCTTCGGCCTGCACGCCCCTCCTGAACCTTCAAGCCCCTTCGGTTTAGTCCTCGGACCCCTTTCGGCGGTTCACCTTTCCAAGCAATGTGCTTCGAGCCGGGACGCTTCGCAACAGCAGGCGAGAATGGGCTCGGGTTCTCAGGGTTTAGGCTTCTCTGTTCTAGGCTTGGGGTTTCGGGGTTTGGGGTTTAGGGTTGAGGGTTCGGACGTAGGGTTTCGGGTTCTGGGGCTGGGTTAAGGTTCTCGCGAGTGCTTGGGCTTAGGGTTCGGGCGGGCTGGGGGGTGTGGCGCCGGCTCCCCGGCTCGTGCAGCCAGACCCCAGGGCTCATGCAATCGCTTGGGGGGTGGTTGGGCTTTCAGTGGACTCGCGCGGTTTCTTGGTTTCTGGTTGCTGGCGTTGCGGGCTTCTGGGTTTAGGGTTTCGGGGTTGCGGGCTTCTGGGTGTGTGGGTTTAGGGCTTCGGGGTTGCGGACTTCTGGGTTTAAGGGTTTAGGGTTTCGGGTTGCGGGCTTCTGGGCTTGTGGGTTTAGGGTTTAGGGTTTCGGGGTTGCGGACTTCTGGGTTTAGGGGTTCAGGGTTGCGGGCTTTCGTGCTTGTTGCTTTAGGGTTTCGGAGTTGGGGGCTTTTGTTAGGGGTTTAGGCTTTCTGGGTTGGTTTAGGGTTTGTGGGTTCAGGGGTTCTGGGGTTTCTAGTTTCAGGCTTTTTGGATGTTTCTGGGTTTGGGGGCTTGGGGTTTTTAGGTTTCTGGGCTTCGGGTTTCTGCTGTCCAAGTTTCTGGGCTTGTGGGTTTAGGGTTTATGGGTGAGGTTCGAGGTTGTTGGCTTTAGAGTTTCTGGTTTCAAGGTTTCTGGATGTTAGGGGTTTCGGCGCTCACACTCGGACAATCCTCACGCTGCCGACCCAAGACCGCACGTTGGGGGTTTAAGGTTTTTTGGGTTTAAAGTTTCTGAGTATTTGCTGCCAGGTCGCATGAGCCCGCGTATGTCATAGACTGGAGACAGAATTTTGCGCAGCCAATTGAGTTTTCCTCAGGTCGCCAAGATGGGCATGCAAACGATCAGCAACCCTAACGAAATCAGACATCAAATCTGCTGGTGCACTTTTGCTTCAGTTTGCCAACATCACAGAAATATGTTGCCAGCCATTTTAGTGCCATTTTCCTGTCCGATGGTGTCGGGTGGGGGGGGTACACTCTCATCGTATGGGTTTGCACACCCGTCAAATAAGTCAGTGTAACCTGCACCACGCAGACACTTTTCCTTTTCGTGCCAGCATTGATGGAAGGAGCTTCTTCGAGACTTTTCGCTTCAACGCATTCAAGCCCTTGCTGAAGAATTGTTGGGCGTCTTGCTTAGTCCCATTCTGTTGATGTTCTTCCTTCCGGATGTCGCCCGGAACATAATTGGTGCTTTGGGATCGCTTCAGCACTCGTCACCGAATTTGGGTGACTGGTGCCTGTACGGCTGCTTGGACTCAACCATCCTTGCCGAGAACAGTGGCGGCGCAGCCTCGTCGGCCGAAGGATGTCAATCAGCACAGCTGCTGAATCGTTGCGGGGACACCAATGAAAAGCTTGAAAAATCAGTGCTTTCGTTCTGCCTGAACCATCAGCTCGTTTGGCCGAGTTCCACAGATCGCACCAACAGCGAAACGTCTCAGGTGCCGTTGCATCAACCACGTGCGCATCAAGTTCGAAATCTTGGCCGCCAGAGGATGCCCACGTCGACGGCCTCTCGAGCTGCTAGGCCGCCTTGGCCCGGTCACGGGCATCAAGATATCCAACTAGAAGAGCTCAACAGTTTGAGTATGTCGCAAACCTCACCTCCAGACCTTCAAGCGGATGATGAGAATGGCGCACTTTCTCCGCAGCCGCGGGCCGTCGCGGATACAGAGCCTCTGATTGATCTGGACAGCCATCAGGATTCCGCGACCGACGTTCCTGCCCAGCACGGCACGACTTCGCCTGTTGCGTGTAAGGAGCATGTCCTTACACACATTATTGGAGTCCCTCCATGCGCGATCAACTTGCTGAATGACATACAGGATTTTCACGAGAAAGAGACGTCAGAAGATCCTCTTAGTGGTGAGAAGGTCGCTCTGCTACCTCCAGACTTGGTCAAGCTTCCTCCGTTGGCACCTGGTCCGACAGCCCTTGCGGCTACAGCTGTGGGCCGAATAGGTGACGAGCCAGATCCTTGCCAGCAGCTGCCCGCATCTACAAAGCATTCGCAGATTCAATACACGCACTTGAATATTGGCAAATTTCCCAAAGCCATGAGCTTGTCTCGCAAAGGAATGGTCAAACACTTGTGGTCCGTGGTTTTACTGGTTGGAGGTGGGGATTGCTACTGCACTTCATGTTACGGCATGCGCTGGTCCCAGAGAATCAGATGCAATGCAGGCTTTGCGTGCATTCAAGGCCAGGCGCTTTGCTCCTTGATCACAAGTAAAATAATTGGAATATCTTGCAAGGACCATCTTCAAGCCCCCTCAGAAGACTTGAATGGCATGCCAACAGGAAACAGCGGTGTGCAGCTGAGGACGAGTCGAGTTCTGGTTGCGTGGGCCTCGGTGGAATCCTGCTCCACGCAACCTGCTATGCATCTCTATCTTCTGGCACCTGGTCTTGTACTGCCCTTTCTAAGCAGCAACAGCTGGCAGCAACATCTTAAATTAAATGCTCCGGAACGTTGCGCCTGATGCACATGCTGTGAAGTACTTGGGAAACAGCAAACCAGAGAGCGAGAGCAGTTCGTGCATGGCCCAGGCTAGGGCAAGACCAGTGCCCTGGAATGCTTTCCCCGTTCAACGTTGTGCGGTCTCGTTCAGGTTGAAACCCAGAAATGTCACAAGGGCATTCGGAGCCAAACACGGGGCCAAAGCAACTCTGGCGAGTGCCGAAGCGAAGCTCTCCGTTTCATCCGAAGCAATGCGATAGGTCATGTTCTTGCCAGACCTGGAAATGGACATAAGTTTCACTTGTGCTGTCAGCCAGTCTTTTCCCCAAGCCACAGCAGTGCCACCTGCACGGTTGAACCAAGCAAGAATCAGCAACAAGAACACCGGCCGGATGCCACAACTCAAAGTGCAATGCAATGTATATCCATGTCACTTCCGATGCTCGTCGGTTGTATCACTGGGACTTCGGGCCTCAGCGAAGATTCTGGGAGCCGTATTTATCCTCGGAAAGTCGACGAGACAGCTTTGGGTTGCTTGCCAACACCGCCGTGGATCTTTGAGGGGGTTCTTGCTTGCAAGGTCTCTGGTTCATGTCTCCCAGCCTAAAGCTCCCAAGCAATGAGTGAGGTGGCATGTTCAATCGCCAGCCCGAGACTCAAATCTTTCATCTATGCCTATGATTGCCTATGTAGAGTCTAGCTGCATCTTCCATCGCCAGGCCTCATGGAGTGCAAAGTCACTCTCGCACAGAACGCCTAGCCGCCCTGGCCTGACAGCCTGACCTCAGATGGCTCACAGCTGCCCAGAGCTTGCCATGCGCCCGCCTTGCGCATGTGTTGTACATAGTTGTACAGGCCATCAGACTATGCGGCACTTGCCCGTGGTGTGCACGTTGTACAAAGACTGCTTGCGTGGATGGCCGGTAAAGGGGGATGCTTTCGGCAGGTCTGAACTTGAAGTCAGCAGTTCGCGGTTAATGCGGCTGAACTAGCTTGGAGGATTCATGGAAAGTCGTGCTTGTTGCGCGCTCGGTGCAGGTTGGCTCAGGCATGGCACAACCTTTGTGTGGTTAGATGTGCTTGCGATGGCATCACTTTGGCCCGGACCTTCTGAGGATGCCATAGGGTGCCAGGATGTCAAAGGCTCGTCACGAGAAGCCGAGGCATTGCATGGCTGCTGGCATGGGCAGGCCGGGCTGATGCGTTGCGCAGGGTTTGACAGAAGAAAGAACTTGTAATTCGTGGTTGACAGGTGAATCTGCCTCCGTGCTGGTCAGCTTGCCAGCAGTGTCTGCCGCTAATTCTTGACATTGCAGCATCTTTTGCCCTTCAGGACATGATGACCCAAACAGAACCCGGGTCTGCTTGGAGGATAGGGACACAACTGCTTTGCAAGTTGAGACTTGCTTCTTTTCTGCGAGGAAGCCGTCCACTGGGCACTGCCCACCAGGCTTGTTCCATCATCGCCGCGAGTTTGTTCACTCTGGACTTGAGAGTTGCGTCCGAGTCGCGTGGGCCTGTCTCAATGTGGTGGCTCGTGTGATCACCCTGCACGGTCTCCAAAGCTCTTCATATTGAGGTGTCGCGAAAGCACGCAGAACTGCTCTCGTGACATTGTTTGCAGAGGGGTGGCACTCACGCTTGCAAGGAAGAACCTGAACAAATGGTGCTTTCTGTGACAGCGGAGCTGCTCTTTTAGAACAGTACCAAATCGAGGAAAGCAGCTACTTGTAGAAGGGCACAAGGACGAAACATCCAGAACTTAGATGAAGCCTGGCCTGCGGAGCACAGAACTGTTGGGCACAAAATGCAGCAATTCTGCAAAGACAAATACGCTTGTCCAGCACACCTCTTTGCGCGCATACGGGCGACTTCTTAACAACGGGTTTAGGCACATTTCTCTGAAGCAAAGCGTGCATTCCTTCGGTCAGCTCCGATTGCCGACAGGTGCCTCCGTCTCTGTGCCTTTTGGTAGCCACAGAGGCAAGACGACGGCTGTCGTTTCAGCTTCCGGTGTGTCAAGCCCTATAATCAGGTTGTTTCTGCAACTTCGGGTTCTCCGGCCTGCTGCACTGGGATCCTTCCGGAGGCGGGCGAGCATTCTGGGGCAAGTGCAGCGCGATGCAGGTCGGAGCTTACAGACACGAATCCGATAAGACACTCGGGGGTCGAATGAGAGGTAGCACCTGTTTCGAGATGTTCGGGTCGGTTGCTGACCAATGCAATTTCTCAGACTCTATAAATTATGGTCTCGTTTTAGGTCCCCAATTTAGTACGACACCCTTATAAAAAGGCGACCAAAAGGGACCCTAGTTTAGAGAACTACCCATATACTGAATCGAGACTGACTCCTATATAGGGTTACAAGTCATGACATTGAGAGCGACTGTCCGTTGGGGTTTGGTTTTGGTTTGGGGCATACTCCTCTTGGGACATCGGGTCCGTCATAATGTCTTTTGGTTTTTTACCACTCGGAATTCAGTGTGTGGTGCGAGAGGTGATTTAGTTGTGTTTGCAGCCTGGCCGGCTTTTTCTCCGACTTTCCGATATTTTCCGACTCGTTTCTCGCGGACACTCCGTGTGAGCCCATAGAGTAGTTTGGGCGGGACCTTCCAAACCTTCGTGCAAGCCGTAAGCTCTTTGCATCTGATTATGACAGTTTATGACATCAAGCCTGCTTCAAGCCTGCTGCTGTTCCGTTGACTCCTGGGCGTGAGGCAGGTACCGTGGTGCTTGCACGCAGACTCCGTGTCCGAGTGGCACTGAGCCAGGACAGTATGCAGGTGCCGCTCGGCCGAGCGAAGTCTCTGCTTGAGCGCTCTGAAGCAGTGCAGACACGTGCAGCAGACTCAGGAGTGCTTTTGTCGTCCGCCTAGCATCGGTCACATCGTTTGGAGGCAAGCGTCCAATCCTGGTGCTGTTTGCCCTGTGCACCCATGGTGCAGGCGAGCCGAGAGCAAAGGCTCCGAAGGCTTTTGAAAGTGTGCTCAGCCCTGTGCTGCGGGCTCATCTGGGCAGAGAAGCTGCAGGCGGAAAGAACTCTACTGGTACACTCGGTGCAAAGGCCTCAGCCCTCGCCAACTAGCATCATCGGATACCTGGAAGATTCGTTGGTTTGAGGTCGCATCCTTCCATGGAGAATGTGTCCTTTTGCCTTGTCCAGATGGCTCTTCTCGGGCGTCGGTGGGAAGCTCAGGCAATATCACGAAAGCTAGCCTCCGGGGCTAGCTGAGTTTCTTATCAACCGAAGGTTGCAACAAGGGGTGTGGACACGCTTTGTTTTCGAGCCAGACTTCACCTGGAGCTGGATCAATAAAGGCCAAGCAATACATAACCAAATTTATAATGGTGAATCTTAGTTGTGCCACTCGCTCATGTCTTTCGTCATGCTTCGCTCACTTCGTTCCCTCATTTTTTTGTTAAAGTGAGGTGGATGCAATGAACGGAACCACAAAAGAGTTAGTTCATGTAATGTAATGAGAAATGACGAAAGCACTGAATGAATGCATGCTTTACCATAGATTAGGCCTTTTGTACCGAGCCGACGTGTTGCCATTAGAATCCTTTTGTAGGAGCTCTTTGGATTCAAGAACTTGTTATCCCGGCGAACCACAAGTCAACCGCTAACCGGTGATTGGTAAAATATCGTAGTTTCAGAGTGAAAAACAAATGGAGTGAGCGAAGTGAAGAAATGCGTGTTATCACTTGAAATTATAGAATTGATTTCTTTGGCAAAAGAACCAAATGAATAAACGCCTCATTCGTTTGATGTCTTGCGTTGTGTTGTATTGTTCATCTAGCTTGATTTGTATCTGTTGGGTCTGGCTTGGTTTAATTGAAGAGAAGGCAATGAAGGGAACCGGAATGAAATTTGGGCCCTGTGTGTGCTGAGTTTACTTTCATTGGAACGAGACATGTATTACGTTGCCTCCATGTGTTTTCGTTTCATGAACATAAACACAGCACCCAGGATATGATGTTAAAATTAAGTCAAAGGAAATTAGACACAAAAAGGCTTAAATTCAACCAAATGAAACAAGTCACAACATGGAATTCACTTTGTTTCACTAGTTTGAACAATTAATTCTGTTGTGGGTTCGTTTTGCTTGTGTCGTATCTCAAACCGTACCGTTTTGAAAAGAATATGCACTCACTCCGGTTACTTGTTCATTGAATGTTAAACAGACACAGCATGCGAACGGAACTATGAGGATGAACGTAACGGAGAGTTGGCTAGTGGCTAGTGGTTTGTTTCCTGGTGTGCTTCCTGTTGTGATTTTGGTGTGTTGAATTAAGCCGTGCTTCCGTGATATTCCATTATGTTTGATGCAACACGAACAAAACACACAATACAACACAGGGGCTCGTTGGGATGAGTTCCTGGGCAAAGAAGGCAAACTAAAGACAAGGAAGCGTTTGTGAGGTTGGGACACAAGATCCTGAATCCTTGGATGTGGAACTTAAGCCTGTGGTACCCGCCTGGTGATTCCGCTCCCTCTGTTTTATCGTTTTCGCCTGATAATGATTGAATGAAGGGAATGAAGGCATTAAAAAGGGCAAAAGATTAAATGAGTCCTTTGTACATCACATTAGATACGAATTAGGACATGAAGCAAAATGTATATATGTAAACCGTTAAATGTCAAATCTAAGCAGAAAGAGTTAAAGATAGAGACCAAACAGATAAACTGACACGATGGACAATTCTAGACCAAAAAGGTCAAAATATATGAACCAACACACATGTAAGAAAAGTACGCGGGTACAAAGGGCAAATGTAAGTAGAAAGAATTAGAGTTAAAATGACATGATGGAAACACGCTAGAATCCTCCAAACAGGTAAAATATTATGGATGAGTACAGAAGAAAATAAGAGAAGACGACCATTTAAAATTTAAATGAGTTGAGAATAGCCGAGACCAAGAACAGAGAGACAAAGCTAAATGCCAACAAAGGTCAATTTCGAAAGCATGACAGCCATGGCTTTTTTTGATCAAAGTGCAAGCAAACTTGCTAAAGATAAACAAGAACTGAAAGAGACATTAAATCATAAAACCACAATTAAAATACAAAATAACTGAATTAAGCATTACGTTCTTTTCATCAAACAAGTTCTGTTTTTTGAATAAGCGCACCGCGCGCCTTTCACGTTTTTCATATCTTGTTCGCCACCCTCTTTAAAGTCAGCTATTACTCCCGCCCGCTCCTCGTCCGCTCCTCGCCCGCTGAGACTACCTCACCCAAAGACTACCGCGAGATGCCTTGGAGAGCACAGACTACCGTGAGATTCCCTGGAGTGCCCAACCCCACTAAGTACGCAAGCCGCCGTTGGTTTCCATAAGCGGAGAGCCGAAAAGAATTTTCGAAAAGGCGAAAAGTCGAAACGTTTTCGCCGTTTCGGGTTTTCCTGTACCTCTCGGCACTTTTCATTCTTTTCGGGTTTTTCGGGCTGTTCGGCTTTTTGACATTTCGGGTTTTTCGCTACTTTTCGATGCTTTTCGAGCTTTTCGGCTTTTCGACTTTTCGAGTTTTCCTGTACTTTTGGATGTTCTACTTTTCTGCACTTCTTAAGCTTTTTGGTGTACCCTGCGCTATGACTTCATCGTGGACACGGGCTACAATCACGCCACAAGGAAGGCGCGCACCGTGTCACGGCATCAGCTACAAGCTTGGAAGCGAGTCTGCAGCGACGACGCGTGAGAAAACAACACAGTTGACATCACGCAGCACTAAGCAAAACGGCAACCACGTGAACCCTTCTGCACGAAAAGCAGTCACCCCCGAAATCATGAAAAACTCCCCAACCCTTACACGCCAAACCCCAGGAACTCCAAACCTAAACCCACTCAGCCCTGTATCCCTAGACCGACAAACCCACTGCCCTTCCAAGAAAAAGAGCGCCTGTACAGATGCAGTTCGCCGCAGGATCCTATGAGCCCACAGCCCGCCTTGTATGTAAGACTTATGCAAACCTTGCAAGCAACAGCATTGCAACGCCCACAAAGCCGGTGGAAGCCCGTTTTTAAAACAACCTTTAGCTTACAAAGCGCTTGTCCAAAGCGAAAGCATGTGAAGTAAGATTTATCAGAATAAGCAAAACTTAGTACCCCTGGCCGAATTCTGAAGCTGTTCCGGTCGGGCGCCGGCGGCTACAACATGGCGGCTTCTCTTTCAGGGCTTGGGAGTCGGCGCTTTGAGGTAGTTTAAGATCCTTACCGGCTTCGTTTTGCAAGGACCTGACAGGCCCCTTTGACGACCCTAATTCGAAAAAGCGCGTAGCGTTGATTAGGGCTTTATAGGTTGAGGCTAGATGCGGTTAGATGTTCAAAAAGGCCTTATGGGGCTGGTTCGTTTCTGTAACAAGCGACACAAGGTTTTTTTTTTGTGGCTTTTCCCGAGCTCGCCGGCATCCAAAAACATCACGTATGGCTCTTGAAAAACATTCCAATATGGGGCCGGAGCACTTCGTGACCGCATTCATCAAAGCTCCCTGGAAGGACTCCAGCGTATACCCCAAAAAGTGTTCACCTTGACCTTTCAAACCTTGTAATCCCGGGGCCGAAACACTTCGCCCAGAACCCAAAATCCTGGACACTATCCTGAATCTGCGCCTTCCCTCTCTGCAGGCGAAAGTTATGCCAAGATACCGTCAGATCTTCACAACTTGCTGGGGTTTCGTGTTCTGCAGTGTTGTGTTTTCGATTTGACTTTTCGCGTTTTGTTGTTCTTTTCGACTTTTCGCTGTTCTTTTCGACTTATCGCGGCTTTTCGACTTTTCGCGTTTTGCTGTTCTTTTCGAGTTTTCGCTGCTTTTTGACTTTTCGGGTTTTCTGTTTCTTTGGGTAAAATCTGTATGCAACACCACTTTTCGACTTTCGCATTTCGACTTTTCGCGTGCCGTTTGGCATTCTCCACTTATCCGCGCCAACAGGCATTCGCAAACACAGGTCCCCAGAGACTACAATGGAGTGCCCCAACCCCAGAGAATCCCGTGAGACTCCCTGCAGTGCCCACCCCCGGAGACTACCGTGAGACTCCCTGGAGTGCTCAACCCCAAAGACTACCGTGAGACTTTCTGGAGTGCCCAACCCCCAGAGACTACCGTGAGACTTTTTTAGAGCGCCCAAATCAGGAACTACCGTGAGACTCTCTGGAGTGCCCAACCCCAGAGATAACCGGGAGACTCCCTTGATTGCCCAACTTGAAAATTACCGTGAGACCCCCTCAGTTCCCCAACCCAAAAACTACCGTGAGACTCTCTGGAGTATTCTGGAGTGCCCAACCCGGGCGCCCCAGGACCTTAACGCCAGTCACTGGTGTGACCCGTGGATCCTCCACCGATCTGAGTCGAACACGTGTTTTGTTACGTGTCCGGGGACCCCGCGTCCGTATCGCCAGTCGGTGGTGTACTGGGTCGTCGAATGACCTGAATCGAACACTTGTGTTTTGTTACGTGAGCGGGGACCCCACGACCGTAATGCCAGTCACTGGTGTGGCCCCCCAAATGCATTATCTGTAGGTTGGGGTTATTTCACTAGTACATTTTCATTTTAATTTTCGTCTTGTGATTCGAAAATTGCCAAACCGGTGGAACGGAAGTTGTGCTGAATGGAATGGGCCGTGTGTCCCTTTTGCCATTACGTTACTTTCTTCTTGTTCATTCATCATAGGCGAGCTTGTCATTGGAAAGAACACGTAACAGTTAAATCGAAGAGACGCTGCTTTAATCCATTGAAGTGAGACACACACGAGAAAGTCTGCTGCATTTAAAATACCAGAAAATATGCATGGATTTGGCCGTTGGCCCCCTGGCCGTTTTTTGGTGTCAAAAGGTTGTGTTTCAGACCGCCATTACATGGCGAAGAGGGCCCCCAATGATGCTCATGATGCTCGCTTGCCGGCTTCGGTCGGCAGCCTTGATGCTTCATGTTACACCCGTCCGCCCTTGACGGTGCGGTTGAAGGCCATCTTGTTCAATGCAGGCGCATCTTGGGCCCTGACCTGCAACGCGAGCTGCTGCTCGTCGAGCCCTTTGGGTCGATGCTGCAAGCTTCTTGACGGCAGTGTGGCTCAAAGAGACACAGCCTCCGAATTGACCGAATTAGCGAAGCAAACCTGTAGAAACAAGACGTCTTTTGCTTGCCGTCACATTAGTGTGCCAAAAGAACCCCACCTCCGTCCAGAAAAAGCACTGCTTCAACCGCAGCGACACCACATCAGAATAAATTAGCCTGCCGAACAAGCACTTACAACGAAAAGCTATCAGTTCTTTTGCAGTCACAAGATCGTGCCCAAACAACCAGCCAAGGCCAATGGTGAAAGTACCCCCCTCAACCCTCCCATATCCAACAAGGCCTGGAGCAACTGGTGGCATACACAAGGAAACTTCCCTGCTGCCTTCAGTTTCCATATGCGCATCCCCTGGGAGCGGCTACCGACAGGTTTGCTACACATGGCGTTCACACTGACCGAAACAGCTGTTCGACATCCACTCCAGCGGCATGCCTCTGCAGGGTGAGCTTGGATTCGAAGCTAATTGCAGCTTTGGTGCATCCCGCGGGAATCCTTTGCGAGGCCTTCATCGTCGGAAGTCATACGCAGACCAATGTCGGTGTGTGTGTGTGTGCACTTCTTTAGTACATGAGATACGCGGTTCACAACCCATGTGCTTGCAGCCTGGTTTCAGCTTGTTTTCAGCATCTTGTCAGCAGGGGGGCAGCGAGCATTTCTGGATTGCGCTGCCTAACAAAGACCGTCCAGATTTGCTGTGATATGAAGAAGGGACGCCTTCTTCACGTACCTGCACTGTACAGAGTGAAGCCGATTTCGATTTCGAAGCTGCGTTGTAGTCAGTGATCCCGGTGCAAGCTGTCTACATACATTGGCTCCATGCACATTGCAGCTGAACAACGTTTGACAGTAATGTAACAACACTTCCGCGAGTGTTCGAACACTTTCTCAGTGTGTGTGTGTGTAAACGCCTGTAC